TTTATTTCGAGAGTCATTATGAAGCCGACGAAGAATTAAAATTTTTTAGTGTATAAAGCTCAATGTTGCGCAATGAGAATGCTGGTATGAAGAAGGAGGAATAAAGAGAGAGATGGTGGACCACAGGAAATTGTTTTGTTTGCGTCTCAACCATACTTTACGATATGATTCACATTTTTTTTAATGCTTAACATTACGGTTTGATGCTCAGAGTCTTGGCTATGGCAATGATAGAAGAGTTTCCCGTCATCAAATCATTATTATCATTAAGTTTCATATTTTCGTGGCTTTTCACATCCCACCATGTTCGTTTCCATTATTCAGCTCAAGACGTGTCGGCATTCTTAAGATTTTTTTTAATTTTCTTGCTTCACTTTTCAAGATGGAAGTCAAGAGAGCAATGAGACTGAAGAATTTCAATGAATAGAATGAAACCTACACGTGAAAGTAAATGCAATCAGTTCCTCTCTTTACCCATGTTTTTTTACTTCTATAAATTTCCGTCTATAATTGAACGTATAGACTACACAATAAGATTAATTTGATTCATTTAGCTTTACTCTCCGCTGGCGCCTGATTAAAACTATTCAAGCGTTTAATAAAACGAAACTGAATACCTAATGACCAAGTCAGCAAGTTAAGATTATAGGAAAACTGTTTCCAAAAAAATGTGAACTCGCTCGTCCGTTTTATTTTCGAGCTTAGCTGTTAAATATTTATAAGATTCATATAAATTCTGATCAACAGCAATTAAAAGTTCGCGACTTATCAAATATGCTAATTGATTTCATACACAATCTCAGTTGCTAAATAAAATAGTGAGTATGGAGGTATTTATCAAGGCGCATTTGTGGATTTAAATAAGAATTTTTGTGAATTTAGGACTTGAATGTTGCAATATATCTTAATGAACCATGAACCAATGTTTAATGTCCAAATTTACCCTGTTTTTTCGTTATAAGCTACTACTCGTTACTAAGCTACTAGTGAGCCAAAAAAATCATTTTTTAGAGCATTTTAGAAACTTGTTTATGAAAGGTAGCTTAATAATACACTTTGTTTGGCTGTTCGGAACAAGAAAAACTTTTTAACCAGACATCGTCGAGAGCTCGGGTTTATTTTATTAGCTCAGTTCTATCGAGTTATTGGCCGGCCGAACAGTTATAAGTTATAAAACAGTGTATTTGTACTTTAATTAATGATTATTTTATTTCATATGAAAAACACGTGATTTTAACCGGTAAAAAATTGGAATTCTAAAAAACCGCTAAATGATAAACCCTTTTCACTAAAACTAATGATCTTCTAATCTTCTGATGATCTGTAATTGAACGCCAAATAATTACATAATCAAATACTGATCGCTAACACAAAAATGCGCTTAAGTCCCTCGATCAATAAGACGAGGACTTCTTTAATTTTTTATTCTTCTAAGCTACTAGCTTATAACGACAAAACAGGGTAGATGGAAGACTGAATAATTCTATAAAACGGGGCAAACAACTATGGTGATAATATCATTCAAATCTGAAATAAACGTTACAGCAACTCCACATTTTTGGCAATGGTTCAAATAATTCCATACTTCAAAATACTTCTAACTATGCTCAGATGTGTTTAGATGCAATCTAGCAGACAAAGTACACAGATTTCCCTGATTTTTTGATGTTTAATACATTTTTAGAGCTTGTCCAGCCAATTTGTAATGTGTAATATGCAAATATCACCTAAATTAGACAGAAATCAAACCAACTTCGTTCAATGATCCGGACGAGTTCAAATCAACCAAATTATTTACACATTCTACACGATCTCTTGGCTAAAATTTTTTGTTTACTTCTTGTTTCTGTTCTATCACTGTTGTCTCTAAAAGAATCGAATGAGATTTACGTAAAACCATAAAAATTGGCGACATCAATAAATTAACATCTTAACAGCAGGTTTTATTTAAGAATTTTACAAAATCAAGAGAATATATTACAGCCTCTAGCTGACTACTTAGTGAAGGTCGTATTCTAATTTTTTGCTTAAAAGAAATATTTTTGGATTTTCTTATAAATACGAAAAAAAAAAATCCCCTCACTCAAATGATGATGCTAACGTAAACGCCATAAAATTGAGAGAAGAAAAAGACGACAAAAATAAAAAAAAATTTAAAATTCAAATTTATTTTGATACTTTTTTTATATAGTTTTCGTTATGAAATGAAAGTTCCACAAGTTCATTTGCCTTTTTTTTTTCTATAAAGTTTATTTGCCGCATCGAATGTTTTATTGATAATTAAAAATTAATGATCATAAAATTAACAATTATTAGATATTGACGATTATAACAGGGCATGAAGAAAATATATTTATCGCACCTAGGAATGAAAGGCTAGCTGCCTTACCATAGAACATTCAAATATTATATTAGAGAACAAAAACACCTGAGGAATTTGTAAAATAAATAGAAATCTTAACAATTTTGACGGCATTTCTCGGCATAACAATCATCATCATCGTCGTCTTGGTCGCTTTGGTCTACGAGATTCTAAAAATATTTAGTCATGCAAATGAAACAAATGAAGAAAATATGAATACATCGTGTACGTGTACATATTTAATTTATAAATATTTCTATATGTTATCATTATTGACTTAACAAGAGTTTCTTTAAGATCTCTTCTTTTGGGGGGCATCTGTGGATGATGTTTGAATATTTCAAAGATTTTGAGATGGTCTGCAGCTTTTAAGGTATTTTAAAACAATTAGAAGTAAGGAAAGAGGCAATGGATCACAATTGATGTGTACGGTCATCGAAGTAAGTATTCTTACCTAAAGATTACCTTACCATTAATAAGGGGCCGTTCACTTATGACGTCCGACATTTATGGGGGGGGGGGAGGGGGGTCTAGGATTTTGTGACAGTTCAAACAATGGAAATTTTTTTCTATAGAATATTTGTGACAGAGTGTGGGGGGAAGGGGGGTCTAAAAATCAGGTTTTTTGATGGATGTCATAAGTGAACGACCCCAAAGTGGAAATGATCTATATTTCATAATAGGATTCGAACTACTCTACTGTTAAGACTTCTATCGGGAGCTGATAATGAGAGGATTCAAGTAGTAACATACAGCAATGGAGTGACAACTAGGTTTGGGTTCTTGAATTATTAATTACAGAAAGGGAACGAATTCCACATTTTTGAATGACAAACATTTTTGATATGAATGCTAATAACCAGAGATCGAAGCCGATTTTTTCGGCTTAACTCAATTTTTGATTTTTTTGATAGAAAAAAGCCATTTGACACCCATTTCAAGTATTTAAATTGAACTTTACATGCTTTACTATGATTCTGTGTAATATTTTGTCAGCATGTAGCTATAGGAAGCTCAGAATTTCAAGTTAAAGAATGTTAAGCCGAAATTTAAGCCGATCGGCTTAAAATCGGCTAAATTGAAATTCTGAGCTCACTATAGCTACATGCTGACAAAATATTACACAGAATCATAGTAAAGCATGTAAAGTTCAATTTAAATACTTGAAACGGGTGTCAAATGGCTTTTTTCTATCAAAAAAATCAAAAATTGAGTTAAGCCGAAAAAATCGGCTTCGATCTCTGCTAATAACCTTTACTATTTTTACAATAACTGAGAAGCTGCTAAATTGTAAATTCAACATTTCTCTTTATCAGGTCTCGAACCTACGAACGCTGTGTTTATAACAATATTAATTCAGAAACCAAACTCGTAAGTCACTGTTCCATCAAGCTCTATCAGCTTATTAAATAAGCTTAAGAATCTGATTATCCCAATTTTTAAAGAACGTAACTGATGAATGAACTCTGCTTGTTACTGCACATCGAATGGACTAAAGAAGCTCTCCTTATGAAATATGTAAATATTTAAAATTAATTTATTTTTTTCTCAAAGCTTCTTTCAACCTTTTTTCATATTGTTTCAGAATGCCTGAAAGTTAAAATCTGTTCAATGCACTCAAATAAATGAATACGACTCGCAAATTAAAAGTAATTTATGCCTTTATGTACATTGTATTGGAAAATCACAAAGAGAGTGAGTGCGAGAGAGGAGGCAATATACTACAAATAGGTGTCGGTGTTGTAAGAGTCAACATTCCATACTCTGTGTTTTTTGTACGCAGGTGTTCATATTTGTTCTGTCGACTGAAGATTCACAAAAAAGCTCTTTTTTTGCATTTACGAAAAAAAAAAATTAATAAAACATTACGAAAATGCCATCGGCAAATCAACATGACCTGATAATTATTTAAGCATTAAATTTCTCCTCATTTTCACTTCCATTCATTGAACTCTCGTCGTTTCTACTCATATGCACTTTTTATTTCCTGCATTAAAAATATCTTGTTAAACAATTGGCATTACATAAATAATAAATTGGCTGGTATAAATGGAAATGATTGAGTATATTTTAAAATTTTGAGAGGTGAATTTACATTTTTAAGATTAAAGTAAAATTAACGGGTTTTAAAAATTTGAATTTAAAGTTTGTTTGATTGAAGCTTCAATTTAAAATTTCAGTTGGCTATGGTTTTTTCTGATGAAAAATTTGATTGATTTTCGATACTTATACAAGATTTACGAGGATTAAAAGGTTTTGGGGAGCAATAGCTGTGTAAAATCAAGACTGAATAGATAAAATTAAGTGTTTAAAATTCATGGTTCAGATACGGAATTGTGGTACAAATGCTAGTTCAAAAAAGCTTATATTAAGCTATTCCAGAAGAAAATGCTGTAATTTTTGGAATTAAAAATTCATTGGAAATGCCAAAAATAGGCAAAGATATTTTTTAAAAATTATTTTGACCAACTTTAAATTGAAATTTTAAAAAACCAGCAACAAATTAAGAAATCCCAAATGTCAACAAGAAGAATCAACAGAAACTTACATCAAAAATCAATCTACGTGCTAATATTAACCTTAATTCATAAGAAACCCAGGAATATCTACAAAATACAATAGCTCAAGTTCAAAAACATTTTCATCTAGTGAAACAACTTCACAAAGCATTTTTATGTGAATTCTTTACGTCCTTCAAGACTTTCTTACGCAAAAATCGTGCTAAAATTCACTTCTCACTGTGATCTTACTCAGTTTAGTTGTAACATCCTTGAGTTTAGTCGGATAACGTAGATAAAAGTGAAAAAAGAAAATAAAAAAAAAAGTTCCAATTGGATCGCAGTAGAGAAAGAGAGAAGCAAAATAATAGCAAAAAAAAAACAACAAAAGAGAAGGAAAAAAAATAGTTTTTTTTATAAGTTCACATAAATTTTTATAACAAAATATAAAAGAGTTTTCTACGTGTGTGCAATTTTATTGTAACTTAAAAAAACGAGATTTCCTAAAGACAATATCATGAACGTATCAGTATCGGACGAAGATTGTTTACGGGATTGTGAGCAGTATATCTCAACACACAGTAAGAACAAATTCTATCAATTATGGAATTAAAAATTCTAATTGCTATGTTTATTTGTCAATAGCTTAAGCTTACTTGTATTGTCGTTGTTGTTGCCCACTTTTCAACCTTAAAGCGAAACCTTTTCATTTCCCACTTGCTTGCTTGCTTTTAATTGCCTTTCGACACTAATTAAACTTGTTTATTTTATATCAATTATTATAGGTATTCAGCGGGTGCTCAAAGATGCAATCGTTCAACTTTGTGTATTTCGACCAGAGAATCCAGTGACATTTTTGCGACAATATTTTCAGAAATTAGAACGAGTGAGTATTCACATTAAATTATATTTTTTTGTGCATTTGTGACTTGATTGATTCAATATGTGTAGATATGATAACAAGCTACATTTTCTCTGCGGAATTAATGATAAAAAAAAGTCTGTGACATATTGTGCCAACACTGTCGGAACTATAACAACAATATAAACAGTGTTCATCTCCCTTTCTCCCTATGCCATAGATATTCAAATATTCTAATCAGTTCACTTAATCAATTTTTGTGCTGTATGATAAAAAGGAAAACGTGCCATTGACATTTTTCTATGCCATAAAATTGGAAAACTAGAAAAATATCAAAAATATAAAAAATCTACATGAATATCGATAATGTTTATGTACGCGATATTGTCACAAGTAATACACTATAAAACAAATACCAATTGAAGTTCAAGGGCTCATGTAAAGGAATTAGCAGAAAAATTTGAAAAAAATATTTGGGTTCAATCGCTTTTGATGTCTGCATAAGATAGAATATGAGATGGGGATGTATTTTGAGCTAGAATTAATTTGAATCTAGTTGAAACCATAACGATATAAAAACCCGGCCGGTAAACTCTCCGAATTACAATGCTTAATAGAGCTACTTTTTCGCTTGCGAACGAAGGTGGGGGAGAGGCTGTGATACGTAATAGCTTACAATGAACTGTCTTTTTTATCAGTTGTCACATTAAATTGAAGTGCTGCTTAAACTATGTTCCACGATACAATTTGGTATTGCCAATAAATCAGTGTTTTGTGTGGATTGTTGAGAAATGTTTGAGAACCACTGCCAATAACTTTAAACTTCAAGTAATACCGGGTTATTTCTACCAGTCATTGCATTTTTGTGCTACAAAACACAGATTGCTTTAAGACTGCACCTTTGGAAAATTGGGGATGCTCAATGAAAAATAATTTGATAGACGTCACATGTAAACAATCCCCATTCTCTCATGAACGAAAAAAAATACAAACAAAAAAAAATCTGTAATGTTTTGAAACAAGCTCTATATTTAGACAATAATAAGTGCCTATAATTGTCATAATTTGCACGTCACGGGAGTCTTTTAATCATTTTCTTATAACAAATGACGCAAATGTCGTGATGATTGACTGCCAAGTAAGACTTTTCGGATATTTTTCAGAAGGAAAAACGTGTAAAGCTCTTTATCAAATGCGACAGACATGCAGGGGTAGTTAATATTATTATTATGTTTCCTAGAAATGACAACGTATCATCATTAAACTCATTTCTGATACTATTTCTTGGAAAATGATTTACCTGCTATGAAAATTCAGTACTGTACTTTTTTCGACAGCTGAATCATGCATCTTATTCAGTTTGTTATGAATTCTTTTCGTTTTTATATTATGAACTGAGTTTATAAGTATTAAATGTTTATAGGTTTTTGAGGGTCAAGAATATGACGTATATATTCAAAAGAAAATTGAGATTATGAGAATTGAGTCAGATTAGGCAGCTCAATTTGTTGCTAAAAATAGGCTATTTGTATGTAAATTGTGAAATTCAAGGTCATTTTTATTTTCTGGATGCATTCTCGATTTGAATTTATTTACTTTCATAATTCGCGGATAAGTTACTTTAGGAGCTTTATAGATATGGCAAAAAAAGAATAGTTTGTGAAGATAGACTTGAGTGTTGAGCTCACGATGAAGTATAGGGGACGTAGTTTGTATAAGATTGAAAGCCTAATTAGTTGAGGATCTCTCATTTAAGACTGCTAGCTAGTAATACATCAATGTCTTTTCAAGAGTCATGTCTTAGTTTAAGATAGAACTTAACTGTAAGCTTACATTTATTTAAAACACTGATTCTAATTTCCAATGACTAAAGCTTTGAATTTACACTTTAAAAATTTTTTATCTTAAAAGCAATTCGAAATATTTAAGTAAGTCGTAATTCGGAAAGAAAATATAAGAAAAAAATCCTGACACACTCTTGTTAATTATTTATCCCAAACCTTGTTAATCAAATGTCCATCATATTCACAAATAAGATATATCCAGTCATCGACCAAAAAGTGAAAAGCATTATTCACAAATCAAGTTGAGATGTGCTAAAAAGTAAATCAGATTTAATTCAGGGGGAAAACAACTCGTTGAAAAATATTTTTTACTAAACCTTTTAAAATTGATTGTTTTGCTGGAAAATCGTTGCAAAAATTTTGTGAAAATTTTTTTACAAGCAGTTGATCTCCCCCTGATCTAATTTAATTCAATATTGTTATGTGAACGAACGGATGAAATATTAATGGAAATATAATTGAGTACAATTTGAAGCTCCAATGTGTGTATTTTGATAATGCATGAAATAGACAAATAAACACAAAAATCAATAAAATTATTAATTAAGAGTGGAACAAAGGATGGAGACAAAACAGCTGTACAACATTGTTACATTAGTAAATGTCCCTTGATGGAAATTATATATTTTGAAATGGATGAGAAGAACAATTTTCAAGAGTGGGATTTACAATAGTCACCATGATGATGAATATTTTCGTCCACAATTCAGCTCTTCCGAGAAGCGTTTGACGAACAAAAAAGCTCATAATCACAATTGTTTGGAAAATCATCGTTTAAATGCTTCAGAGCTCTAACTAGCTAAGTCCCGTGCGAAAAGTTATTTTTGTGGTTTTCAAAATATATCGTAGAAATCAATTCCTTTACCAATATTTCCCTTTACTACGTCTCAGATGCTTATTAATTATTCCATTCATATTTTATGATTGTTTTTATTTGCAAGAGAGTGAAAGAAAACATGAAAAATTAATGAAATTCTGACGTCTTAAAAAGTTCCTGGCGTTATTGTTATTATTGCTTTTTTATTTATTGCTGGGCTGACTATACTGATTGTTTATTTATCAAATGCTAGGCTTATCTTATTACAAGCAGGATCAAATTATTTTCTTTATTAATGTAGAAAGGAAATTCTAATTATTGTGATTAATGGAATAAGCACATAGGCTCTCATCTTTAGCTACAGACAGAACAGTAGCCAATCAGAGTTTAAGAGACACTATTTTATAGATTTAATAGTCGACCCTAAGTCTAGCTATTGACTACAAATCTGTTCCACAGCAGTAATATATAGGTTTGGACAAGACATAGAAATATCTGAATTTTTCAAACTCGATCTCGACATCTGAAATTCTAAATTATCCCCAAAAAATCCAGACTTTACAACCTAAACATGCTCATATAAACATCCTATTTCTAAACAACTCCCACGCACATTCATACGAAAATACATGAGAACAGAATCTTTGCTTAATAGCATTTGAAATTTTATGGATTACTTGTATTCACCATATAGCATATGTCAGACTTCCAACCATGCCATTTCATAGTTTTACAAATATTTGTTTTCAGAGTCAAATCAACTTTTGATGTCAGCTTTAGTGACGCATTTTCGTGGGTGTTTTGTTTTTGATACGTCAGTTCACAGTGTTAATTTAATTTGAGTTCTACAAAGTACACAAAGAACTTCAGACAAAGCCAGAATAACACGATTATTATTCAATTATTAAAAATACGCTAATTAGTGCCATTTTCCGCTCGCTTATACTTTTGAAGAGGAAGAGAAACTTTTTGCAAAAATTAACAAATTCATCTTTTTTGGTCTTTAAGCCTGATCTCATTAAAAGTCTATTTCTTGATCTTAAATTTAATTTGCTGTAAGCATGAATAAGGGATGACTGTGATGATATAAAAATTCTTTTATGGTTGTAAGGCATTGTTAGGGTGACCATCTGCGTAGTTTTACAACGGACAGTCCTGTATTTCAAAACCCTGTCCTGTATAAATTTGAAAACTTTGTTCCAGGTCCTGTATTTTTTTCACGAAAATTTCCGTTAATTTTCGAATTTTACACTATGTCCTGTATTTTTCGAAAAAATTTAGCAAAAGTCCTGTATTTTCATGAAAATTAGATGGTAACCCTAGGCATTGTCCTTTTTTGCTGCAAAATAATTTACATCCAACAAAAAATTTAATGAAAAGTTTTTATAGCAACTTTTGGATTAAACGAAGGGATTGAAATTTGGTGGATGTAGCCAGAAGACATTGAGATGAAATATGGTCTATAATTCACAAGACTATTAAATTAAGTATCGCGCTAGAAAATTCAATTTTTGTCTTTTAACAGTAATGAAGAATAATGTCTGTAACATAGCAAAATGTAGGCTTACATCTCTCAAAGCACAACTTGAAGATAATCAATTCTCAGAAATACAACCGCAGTATTTTACCTTAACTTTGTGACAAGTTTTTCTTCTTTGAATAAAAGTAAATTGAAAGAAAATTTAATGGAAGGCATACGATGAAGCATAGAGATAAGATCAAATCATTCTCATCTTTTTGAGTTCAAAAGATGGTTTCTAAATTACTTCATAGCTTGTCATAGTGATTTATTCGATAAAATATTATGTTAATTTTGAATATCTGGCACGTGCAGTGATTTTTTGGAATATAAAATGGAAGTAATTATCTTTTGTCATTCTAGGTAGCTAGTTAAGGTAATTTTTAAAATTTAGATCATGATGAATTGTTTGAGCATTTATATTTTCCCGAATAGCACAAATCGGCTAATCGAATAGAAATCCGATACCAAGTAGGCATGACTCTGGCATGATGCTAGCTTCAATTTAAGTGCATTATAGATATTATGGATATTATGGATAATATCTTAAGGTTGGATGTTAAAGAAATATAAAAACCCTTAAGAAAGTATCTCTCTGTAGATTCTGTCTGTTATTGACTTCAAAATGATGATGGTCGGTTATCTACAGACTGCAGGTGATGGATTTTTTAGCATATAGTCATCTGCTCTTCTAAATCGACTAATGGTTTGACAATGCAATGTCTAATTATGTTTAAAATTAGCACTTCTTCATAATCTATCATAAAAGAGAGCACGTGGAAGACCAAAGAACTCATGGAAAGAGGCTGTTGATAGAGACAGTATTGAATTTGGTATAGGAAAT